TCTCCTTTGGCACCTGAGCCTTTTCCCAAACCTGCATAGGAAAAAGGACACCTAAGGCTCCAACGGTTCACACTCAGGGTTTGCCGCTCCCAGTTCTCTTAACCTGCTCACAGTACCCCCCAAACACACCCGCTGTTTGGTCCAGGTTTGTCCTAGTTAGGGTGTGCGTCCAGTTCCCCCCGCAAAGCGGGGGAGTCCTTCTGCAACCAATGTGGTTGTTGTTTCTTTTGATTTTACCTCGTGAGAGAATGACCGCAACGCAACGGTCTCTTCAGGTTTCCTTCGAATGGCTTGTTTTTGGTTCATTCCGACCATGCTAGTCTGGTAAAACGGGGGGGGGGGAGGTCACAGAACCGGTGCGCAGTTGAACAAGCGGACTTGGTTTTCGGTGCTCCATACGTTCACTTTGGGGAGCTTCCCTCTTGGCAGTTTGGATTGCTTGGCGGGCTTAATTTGCAATTGACCCACAAGATGCCGTCGAATTCGAATCCCAATCCATCAGTTGAGGGTTGAGTAGACTGCACTTTTTGCCAGAAGTCTGAACTTTTTGCTCACGATGGTGCAAACCCAAGAGCGACTTGAAGTCCATAAACTCAGCAAGTGAGCCTCCGGCCGAACATGCAAAAGAAACAAAAAGACACGCACATAGGTGACCTTTTATTTTGGAAGAATCGATGGGTTTGCTTGGCAAATGGGGCATGAAACCAATCTGGGCCAGTGGAACCTATCTATTTCATTGCCCAAACTCACCAATCAAAAGGCCACACCCCACGTCTCCGCGTTTGGGCCGCGGAGAAGCCCCGCCCCGCTCCGCGCCTTGAGCACCAGGAAGGCCATGGTCCGCGCGTAGCCGAAGCCGGCCGCGAAGGCCACGTTGGCCGCGGGCACCACCTGAACGAAGCCGAAGCCGAAGCCGAAGCCGCGGGGAAGCCGCGGGGAAGCCGCGGGGAAGCCGCGGGGAGCCGCGTGCGGGCGCTCCTCCTGTGTGTTGGTTCTTCTTGTTTTCTCTTTTTTTTTATTTAAGGACTGGGGCCGTTTTTTCTCGTTTTTTTTTTTGGACCGTTTCTCGTGTTTTGTTTAAAGGGATTTGGACCGTTTTTATGTTGGTGTTCAAGTCCTGGATTTCTCTAGGTTTGGAGGAGTTGGACCGTTTTGGGATTCAGACCGTTCCTCTTGGCATTCAAGACCTGGATTGGTTCAAGTGTTCTGGGCGTTTGCCGGGTTTTATGCAAGGACTTGGACCAATTCTCTTGGTTTTCAATTGCTGGATTTCTCCGGGTTTGTGGGAATTGAACCATTTTGCCTGGATGTTCCTTCTTGGCAATGTCTGGGCATTTCCCGTGTTTCTTTCAAGCATTAACGAGTCGAAACATGGCACGGATATATGTCTGAGCCTTTGTCTTACCAGTGGTTGCATTTGAGTATGAATTCAACAGGGGACCCTGTGGTGCACCAGCCACTTTGAGGAGGGTCCCCATTCAAAATCATAGCCATCCCTGATTTTTTGTGTTGGGCTCTGCCTATGGTGCTGGGTATGTTTTGGAATACTAATTGGGTTGCCCCCCCCCCCGCAGCAAGAGTATTAGCTTGTTGCTTTGTGGGGGATCACACAATTTCGACGCGTTTCTGCTCTGGAGTCAACTGTACACCTCCGGGGTTCAATTGCATGTTGGTACAAGGGAAGCCTAGGGACCAAGTAATAATTTGAGGATTCGTTTTCGTTGAAAAGAAGCGCAAAGAAACAAACTAAGACTAAACCACCGCCCAGGCCTTCTTCTCTTTTTGGGGGGAACATCAACAAACGAGGGTTGCTGCTCAGCAATTCCCACCTTTTTGGCATAACACCAGTTAAGTCCCTGGCAGAAAACGAATGCCCGTTTTGAGACCCAGACCCTTCTTCCTGAAGAACCACCGAAACGGCACAGGTGCGGGTTCCACAACTTTGGCACCAAAAAGAAAGAAGGAAACAAAAACAAAGGAGGAAAAAAGAAGGAAAACAAACGAGGCCAAAGGCCCCAACTCCATTCCGGGGCGCCCATTCGCCGAGGAGGGATTTCGTCTTGGCAACCGCCACCACCAGCAGCGCGGCAAAGGTGAAGAGCGCCGTGAGGCTCCAAAAATGCCTCCGCGGCTCAACGGGGCGTGAAGCAAGAAGAAGAATTGGCCATGGGTCAAAATCCAAACCGGTTAGACCCCAGTGAACATCAACCAATCCAACCACTAAAGTAGACTAAAATGGGTGGTGAATTCACCTACCCAACATGGTACCCTTGGATGTGACCCACAGGCAATTGGCGCCCTGGTTGCAGTTGGTGGATTGCGATTTTGGTTGAGTTCTAAATGGAAGCCATTCCCGAAAAATCAAAAAGGGGGGGTCCACTGGGCAATGCATCGCTCGGACGCCCAAGATTCTTTGGCCCGGTGAGACTCAGTTGCAACCCGGAGCCCGGGGTCCAGCAACGTGACATCCTCAAAGGAACCTAAACATTGGCTTCAAGAAAAACTACGGCCCAAACATGACTTTGAGAGCCCGAAGGAGCTTCGGTCTCCCTTGACTTCCCTTCAACTCCTCCTCCAACTCCCCCAACCCCCCCACCCCGCAAGCCAACTGCCTCCCCTGACCCCAGCAGCTACCCCCATCCAACTCCCCCAACTCACCCCCCCCCCCCCCGCCCAAAGCGCCCGACTTCCTGCCCCCAACCCCAGCCGCCGTCGAGCCCCCGCTAAACGCCTGAAGTTGGTGAAGGCCGTGAGCAGGCGGCTGATGGGGTCGAAGCCGTAGATCACCGCGTTGCTCCAAAGCAGCACCTCCCACAGCCGAAGGCGAGAGGCCGGAAGGCGGGAAGGCGCAAGGGATCGGATCCCTGAGTCAAAAGCAGAAACCCCTCAGGTGGAGGATCCTTACCTGATGCCTTGGCTAAGTCAGACACAAAAACATAGGGGGGAAAGATCCTGACCACCTGATGCCTTGGCTAAGTCAACAAAAAACCCTCAGGTGGACCTAAAAGCCACTAGGGGGGGATTAAGTAGATGCCAAGGGCGGGGATCATCGATCGGAGCTGCCAAAGCCGATTCAATCGCTGCCCATGTCCAGTACGCAGCGAGCCTCAAGGGGCTAGGTATACTTGGTCAGTGACCGAAACCAACAGGTTGAACAACAAACACCACCTGGAGCGCCAGTTGCTGTTTGTTTTTGTTCCACGCACTTTAATTACCCCAGCAGTGACTAAAAACAGCTGCAACTTGGCTATCTAGGCACCTTTAGGACAGTTCTTCTACCAGATTCTACTGAGCTATGCGGGGAGTGCTCAAGACTATGGCCCCTTTTTGGGCCCTCCGCCCAAGGTGCCGCCTTTTGACGCGGATACCAAGAAAGTGCCCAATGTGGAACTCAGGGCTTGAGCAAAATCCCCCCCCCCCCCACCTCGCTTTGGGTCACCCATCGCGCGCCAACCCGCCGCGCCTCTTGGGCGTTGCTGAAGCCGGAGCCTTGGGCCAAGCAAGCCGTGACCCCTCGTCCTTTTTCTCTCGGGGACCCCAAAATATTGTGGCGGTCCTCTTGGAGTCCATGAAAACCACCCAAAAAATGGGTGGCCCCGCAAAAAAGACACACCCATATAGGATCAGGGTTCAAAGTTTAGGCTGCGCTTAGGATTAAGGGCCAGGTCAGGGTTGTGGCTTAGGCTTTTTCCGGCGAAACTCACAGGGGACAGCTGCAGCAAAACGCCCTTCGCTAGACTTCCTCGGTGAATTGCCAACCCCCCCCCCCCGGGCTACGGGTGGAGCCAAACCCCAACATGGGTTAATTAGAGAGTCCATCTGCCATAGGTGATTGTTGTTTGCAAGCGGGGATACGGAGGGAGCGGGGTTTTGGGGGGATTCCCTTGGCACCATTCCCCATATCAAACTTAGTCAAGGTGCATTTAGGGGGAATCCTCCCGTATCCCTGGTCCCCCCTGTATGCCTGCCTGCTAGTTGGTTTCCCTGAAAACCCATCACGCTCTTCAATCAGCAACTGCTTTGGGCTTCCCTTTCAAGATAGGACCTTTCGGGTCGGCAACTCGCCGTGAAGTCAGGGGATCCCCTTTTTTGGGAGAAAAAGGAACACAGAAGCCATTTTGGGGACGCCAATGAAAGACCATAGTTCCCTTACCAGGATTCCTTAACGCAAGGAAGGTGACGGGATCTTTTGACCGTAGCTCAAATACACGGACCACCCAAAATGGACGTCCGTGTGGTTTCCGTCTAAACCAGACTGAAGAGGGTCCCCCCAGAGAAAAAACAAAAAAAACGGCACCCATAGGATATAAGACTTTAAGTGGTTGGGTTTGGTTTCCCTTGGGATTTCTCTTAAATCCAAAGAAGGGGTTCCGGATATTGAGACACGCCCAGGGCCCCTGCCCCACCAAACCCCAAAAAACCGTCAGCGAGGGGCAGGCGATGGGATTCAGCGAGGGCAGCAGCCCGAAGTTCAGCGCAGATCCCCAGAAGAGCGCCTCGCGGAGGATTCGAATCGACTGAACCCCTCACTCAGTGGGTTGCTCGGTTGCTGCAACGACCCCCCCTGCAAAAAGTTTCACTTGTTGGGGGGTTTAGTGGAAAACACCAAATGAATTCAACCAAAAAGTTCAAGTCTAAAAATCCAACCCAATAGCAGTCAAGGTTGGGGACGGACCCCCCCTAATCTAGCGGTTGATTTCTCGTGCCCATTCTGTTCAACCATTGTTCTTTTCAAAAACCGGATCCGTTTCCTCTGCGTTTGTGGATGTCTTCCCGAAAAGAAGGAGCGGAAAGAATGGAAATGGAAGGTACCCCCAGACCTGGATCACTCACTGGGTTTTTTGGGAGGCTCAAAATGGTCCGGGTAGGGTTGCGCAAGTTTTTAGCGATTTTAGTGGTTGGCTCCCCTTACCAAGGTGCTGGTGTTGGTACATGTTTTGTGAGCCGCAGCCAGTCGGGTAAAACCCGTCTGTGCTGAGAAATGCCGCACATGTTGGAGCGCCTGCGATCGCAAAGCCTACTTTTTGCACCCGTTTCGGGTCCTCAAGGGCAGCAGAACCGGGGGGAGGGGGGGAATTGGCCAAGTTTGGTCCTTCGAAGAGGTGTGTCTCAGTAAACCCTTTGGGTAGCAGGGGCGGTTCTAACCCAACTAAGCAAGGGGTACAAAGCCCCTTTTCAGACGCCCCCCCTCAAAAAAAGAAGAGAAAAACACAGTTCAGAACCCCCGCCCCGCAAAAAAAGTGCTAGCGGTTGATGCCAGGTCCAAAGCCATTTGAAATCAAAAAATCATCTCCAAATCCCTCGGCACAGATTTAATCTGGGCTTGGCCAAACCGCTTTTTCTTTTCTCCTTGTCGTTTTCCCTTTGCGCTCCTTTGACCTCTCCCCTACACCACCACGTCCCAGCCGGACAGCTCTACTCAGCCCCGCGCCAGCATGCCGGCGCGGAAATGCAGCAGCTGGCCCATCAGGTCGCCTGGACAGATCCCTTGGGGCCAAATCCCTGGCATGGTGAGGATTTCACAGTCAAAACACCCGCAGAAATACTCCAAATCTCTACTCGCTCGAGTTCCTGGACCTTACACTGGACATTTGGACCATTTTAGTGGTAGGCAACAGGTTTGGACTTGTTTTTGCAAAAGAAACACTCAGGAAGTGGGTATGTGATGATACTGATCTGCAAGAGAACTAACATTAGAACCATAAGATTTGGAGGGTTTAACAAACGCACGGCTTGAAGCCATATTGTACATCGGCCAGGCGTTGGTTGTATGTGACGTCGGAGCAACGAACAGAATCGGACAGGTATGGCAAACTTGGGTTGTGTTCCTTGTCAGCCCCAAACCCACAACAGTCCACCATAATATTGACAGTTGCTTGGCTCCAAACAGGCGAACCGCAAATGAGGCTTCCCTCAACAACAACCCACCAAAAAAGGACCCTCCAAAAGCTTCAAACCCCTATGTACGTATTATTCTTGGGGACTAGATGGCTAAAACGGCCTATCAGGAATCCAACGGATACGCGGTTTTGCGCAGGAACCTGTTCGCACTTTTCGGGTGTCTCGCCCATGAGACGGTTCGTCAAGGCCAAGCTTGAGGCTCAATACCCAAAGGCCAGGCGCAAGCCCAGTGGGGTGCCCCTTCCATACTGTGAATGGCGAAATCCGTTCAGGAACCCTGGCTTGGGATATGATTCCAAGCTGTAAGTACCAACAAAAACGTTGTGGCTTCAACCATGGTTTCATTCCGTGGTGCGATTTCTGGATTTCGCCACCATCCACGGTGTTGTAAGCAAAGCAACCACAATCCCATGAAAATCTTCCATTTGGTTCAGGACTCCTGGAAAAAATGAGAAAATATGTCCAGTAGTGATAAATTCCTTTTAAAACCAACAAGGGAAAATACAAAAATAGTCATTTCAGCAAATGGAAGGAATATTGCAGGGCTTGCAACCTCTTCCCTGGAGTCCATGGCCTTCGCGCTTTTCCATCCAATTCGGCCAAGCAGCTAGGCACATCGGCCGGCGTCTCCTCAGCCCATGGGTGCAAACATCATGTGGGTATGGGTCCAAATTAAGCCACCAGGAATTGGACCGCAGGTTTGAGTCCTTGGTTCCATTTACTGGGGTCTCAGTTTGGGTGCCTCTGTTTGACCCACAGCCATGAATTCTGACAGGAACACTCCAGGGGACCTGTTAATCTGGAGGAGCATAGCCATAAAATCCACTCAAAATTACGTCGGATGCCCCGCTAATTTGGTTGGGACACACACACACACATGGATCTAAGTGGGACGCCTGCAGACTGGTTTTCTTTCGGCTTCCCTGTTACCATCCTGACAGGGGCTCCCTTGGGTTTGGTTGTCCCCCGTTTTGGTGGGACACCCACAGTTTACAGAGGAAAACACATTGTTTGAGTTCCATGCTGATTTTCAGGGGGTCGTCCCAAACGCCCCAAGCATCCAATGTGAATGAAAGAAAGGGCAAAATTGAAGTTTGCCCAATGATTTTGTTGATTTCAAGAGGGAACCATCCAAAAATCAGAGAAACGAAAGGCACCACTGGAAGTCTGGGGAAATCGACAGGGGGTTTGAGAATGACTCAAGGGAACAGGAAAGCACAAGGGATGGGTAGGGGGTCATTCCGCTTCTCATTCCCTGCTGAGAATCAACCAGTTCTTGGGGTCGTCCGCTTTCAGAAATACCCGGAAATTCAGACACCCTTCAGATCACAGGGTTTACCAGAAAAGTGCTTCTGTTTTGGAGGTTTGACAAGAAACGGGTTGCCCCCAAGACCCACAGAGTCCCAAAGAAGCACGAAAAATGGGCACCGCTGGCTGGAGTGATTGATATTAGGAGCAAAACAAAAGGAGCATGGGGGTTGTCGGGGACTCGAATTCTAAACTAAGTTCTGGCCAAAGAATCAAGTGTAGCATCTCAGGGAGGGTACCTGGAAGATCCATTTCCTCTTCAAGGGACTTTTGTCTGGTGCTATGTTAATGTTGATCCCATGCCATGCATCACCACTTTCATTCATAAACTGGGTTTGATTCATGTGGCTAGGTCCTCCAGTAGAGAGGATAGAATTACCCTTCTTTCTGTAGCCTATTTTAGTAGGGGAACCCTCCCAGCCGAAAAAGTTGGTAGAGAAGGGGCACCTAGCTGGGAGACCTAGGTGGGGTCATCAATGGGGAGGCCCGGCCCCAGGTACGCCATCAGGGCGCCATCAGGGCGCCATCGGACCTGGCGCCGTCGGAGCGCAGCTTGGCGGCGGCGTGGTGGCGGTCGATGAACCTCGGGCGTGTGCCGAGAGGTTGGGGCGGGGTTGGGACCCGCACACCCCAGAGATTCTTCCAGTTGCAGTTTTGCCACCTCGAAATACTGAGAAAACCACGGTGATAGAATCCCTTTAACACCAACTAGGGAAAAGAAAACGTATTCTTAAGCAAATGGACATATTGGCTAATCCATGTGGGCGTGATGTGTTTAAAAAATGCGGGCATCATTTTGTTCAAACAGTTGGGAGGGGATTCCCCATCATTGCCCCCCTGCACAAAAAAAGTACACAATTGCTGCTGGTTAGTTGGAAACACACCGTTTCCGAAAACGGACTTTGGGTGGGAACAGGTCCCTTTTGTTCAGGTTTTGCCTAAACCTAAGTCTGAGCAGCAGCTAGGGGGCATTGAATGAATTGCGACATGAAAGTTGATTCAGGGTTTCGCTATGTCAAATCTAATTCTGCGTAGTTGGCAAAGGCGGTGTTGGGATAGATTTTCCCAAATTAAATCTAATTCTGGAACTCCACCAATTGAGCTCTGTTCAAAACCCCTTACGAGTTTGTTTGGGCCCGACGACCCAAACATTTTCAGACACTGGTCTTTTTCCAGTGAGCTTTAAAATGTAAGATGATGCCACACCCTTCACCCTACACTACACTTTCAGGGGGGGCCTAACTTATGTACCAAAACAATGTCGAAAAACACACACACACCCCAACGCTATGGTCGACAAGAAGCCCATCATCCCTACGAGAAACACCAAAGAAACCCCTCCAGAACCCCCTCCAGAATCTATCTGGCCAACCAAAGCTTTCAGGGAAAAGAACTAGACCAGTGGCAGGCGGAGAATAGGACACTTTCGTCTTTTGCTTTAGGGAAGACTCAAAAGGGGAAACTTACATAGTCGGCGTGCTGCAGGTCTCCATGGTTTGAACGTTCAATGACGATTCTCTCGACAAAAGTGATGGGACCCTTTGGGCATCGTGGCGAGGATACATCTCCACCAACCACTTTCAGGTAGGCGTCCCCATGCAGAACAACACCTCTGAGGGAAACCTCGGCAACAGCAACACGGGGATTCGGCGCCCCCCCCCCGGACCCCATGCCGCGCGCACTTGAGCCCAGTGACAGCAGCGCCAGCAGGGCGCAGAGGCAAAGGGCCAGTGAGAAGGCGAAAGCGGCGGCGAAGCTTTTAGGCAACACGTTGAAGCTCCTGAGGCTCGCTGAGGTTTGCTGCAGGCCTTTCCCCAGTGAATTCACTGGTAGCTCCGGTGGTCCAAGGGGTCTGGTAGCCTTTGATAGCTCAAAAACGGAGGGTGAATGGAGGTTTGCTGAAGACTTCCCCCTTTCACTGGTGTGGTGGTTCCGACAGATGGGTGGCAGGACATAGCGCCAACCACCTACGAATCATCCAAAAACGACACCTGTCCTTTCGGACGGGGGATTCCAGTTGTTTGCTTTTTGAGCCGACTTCCCTGCTATGGGCGTCTAAAAAAAGGTGGATGCCTGGGGATATCCCTCTTGCAGGAGTCGAGAAATTGCTCTGCAACGGCCCCAAACAAGCTCATCACATCCACTTTCTGGCAGTCCCAAAAGGATCTACTCCCTGCGCTGAACAGTTCACGACCCGTTTTGCAGGACTACCCTCTTGCGTCCGAACCAACGGTCTCAACACCCAGAGGCAAGACTTTAGCAGCAGAAGCAAAACCCAGAGGCAAGATTCGAGCATCAGAGGCAAGGGGATGTTTTCCACACCAACGGCTTCTAACTTGGAAATCGTGGTGAAGACAGCCATGAGCTGCTTGTCTGCCTGTAGCCTGGCAGCTGAAGAGTCGGATCTGCATGGCTGTGTGTGTGCCCCTAATGAAAGCTAAGTCATAATCTGCCAATCTTATGGCTCATCTAGATGCAAAACAAGCTCACCACGATGATACTTCTTTATTTGGGATGCCGAATTTCAGCGTCTGGTAAAGCCCTCCGTTGGTTGATTGTATAGTGGTTTCCCAGGTTACACGGAATCTTCTTCCCTGATCGGGTCAGTTGCAAGGTTTATTGATCCGGGCCCAACAGTACCCTTCCATTACCAGTCCGGGTGTTGAACGGGGGGGGGAGGTTCTGGAAAATCGAAAAAGCATTGCCTGTTGTTTTCTTTGGCTATTTAGCAGCCAGCTATGATCCCCAGAAACTACGGGACGATTGGGTGGTTTTTACTGGCTTGGTTTTGCCGGCCTCAGTTTCCCGACAAAACACTACTCGCCCCCTTTTGGTTTCTTTTTCGGAAGCTAGCAGGTTCGTCACTATATTCAAAGGATCCACAAGACTCGTTTCATATTTAGTCAACCTTAAAGTAAAATCGTATCCACCGGACGGGGATATGCTATATTCCCCTTCTTGGTAACGTTGTCCCCATTGCCTAGAATTAGGTGTGTAGCCCCAAAAGAGGTTCCCCCCCAAAAAAAAACCGAGCAACTATGGGAATTGGGTTTGTCTCAGACCAACAAACAAGGGGGCTTCCCATCCAAACCAAAGAGATACACAGCATGATTCAAGTTAGGCCCAGTTGTAGAATGTATATTTTATTGTTTGCTTCACTTTGAGTCACTGGTAAACTGTAAAATGTATCCTAAGTCTACCCCAGACAGTTACACCCATGTCCCACCCCTCGTTCGCCGCGGCGCTGGAGCATGCCCAGCACCCCAGCACAGGACCCGCTGAGGCCCTCCCCGATCGCTAGCGCCGTGGTGTATCGCCTCGGCCAACACTTTTTGGGACGTTCCGAACCGAGAGGACTTGGGCGTTTTCATCATGGGGGCTGGGGGTGGGGCTGGGAGGGATGGGAGCCCAAATAAGCCCTTAAATAGGGCCTTATTCAGGGCTTAATAAAGCCCCCCCAGCCCCCATGGTTTCAACACATCCCCAGCACATGGGTGTGTTTTTTGGTTGAGGCCCGGTACCCCTTGTTTTTTTGTGGTGTTAAAGGGAAACCACCAGGAAAACCGGCATTTTTGGGGGTCCCCTACAAGACAAATTCATCCCGAGTCAGAGGCCTTCTTCTTGCTCCGCACTTGGCGTGGATCATTTTCGGGGCTTCAATTCCACTTCACCAGGGATTCAATTCCCCTTAGCCAATCCAAACTAACGAATTCGGGCTGCCTGATGTTCATACTGTGTGCTTGCCGCGGTCCCGAAAGTGTGATACTTCAGAAACTGAAGCGAGCTTGCCTATGTCCTTTTGGAAGCTGCCTAATCGCCCTTTTGGGGGGTATGCAAGTGCCATTAAGTGTCGACATACGGGCGCCCCCCCCCCCCCCCCACAAAAAAAAAAAGAAGAGCAGTTTCCTGTTGGTTTCTTTCGACCAACCCCCCAAAAACGGCTCAAGCTCAAAAACGCACGCATGCGCACATGGGTCACCCTTCTAAGGGTGACTCAAACTTGGAGTCGCTGTCCTTCAAACTCTTCAGACACCAAAAGCCACCCAAACAAGCCAAGCCACCCATCCACCACCCCAGCCCACCCCGCCCAGCACCACCCCGCCACGACCACCCCGCCCCCCCCCCCCACCCCACCCCCCCCGAGCCCAAGATGTCGCCTGGGGTAGGCGGCCGCCAGAGGGTAGAAGGTCAAAGAGCTCCCGCAGCTGGCGATGCCTCGCGCGAACAACCCGCGGCTAGGCGTGGCTTCGGCGAGGTTTCGGCTTCGGCGCGGCTTCGGCGAGGCTTGGGCATCCCCCACAAATTCACATGGGAACGGTCCCCATAAAACAGGTCCCTCCAAAGAAGCCTCCTGTACCAATGGTGTGATAGCTGGTGATGGAGGCCTGGAATGGAATGGCTTGGAGACCCTGCCTGGCCGACAGATTCACATGGAAACCTCCAAGGACAGTCCCCCCGAACGCATTTTCCCCTGCAAGTGGTGGGATTGAATTAGGCTACTATGTTTTTGTGTTTTTGGTTTTGTTTTGTTTCTTTTTTGTGGAGCAAGCTTGAGAGTCCGAGCCAAAGTGCACACTGGAGCAAGGGCCCCGGTTGGCAACGGCCCGTCTGACAAGTTCCCTTTTTGGTTCCCCCGCCCTCCGGCCGTGACAAGCCTCTCGCCCTCTAAGGCTGTCGCCCTCTGGTTTGAGGGGGGGGGAGTTGGGGGATATCTTTTTGTTTGCGCGATGCTAGATATCCAGGAACCATTGTGACGGTTCAAAGTGGAACCGGGCCCACAGCCGTATTGCACTAATCTGTTCATGTTCCTTTGAGGGTACCTTTTTGTCAGTCATAATAGCCCCTCACCCCCACAGTAAACGCAAGGACGTAAGCAAGGGTCTTGTTTTTGTTGGAAACAGGGGTTGGAATCCTATGAATCGGTCTGAAATGCTTGGGAAATAGCCAGGACGTCCGCCTGCCACGGCACTCCGGATGAATCCGAAAGTCAAATGAACGACCTCAACAAGTCAAAACTTGCCACCGGGATGATTTGGGCTGTGCATCAAAAGAGTCAGGTCCAAACCAAATAGGGATACCCAACAAATGGTGGTTGTCCTTTTGGTGTCCCTTTAAACCAACCCCAAAAGGGTACCCTCAAAGAAAGAAAGACACCGCCAATTGTGGTAGGTGTCCCTTCAAGTTTAAGGCACTTGGTCCCTTGACGGCCTGGAACGGTGGAACTATCTCCTCTTTTCTCCGTGTTTGCTAAGGTGCTTAGCTCAGCTCTCCGATGAAGCGGAGAAACCTAGTCCCCCAAGGAGTCCTCAAAACTAGAAGAAACGATTCTAGGTCCTCCAGTAGAGAGGTTGGAATCAGGGTACCAACTTTTTTCTGTAGTCTGTTTAGTAGGGGAACCCTCCCCCTGATAAGGGTAAAAGGGCACTACCGGGGGACCTAGGATTACAAGAGAACCCAACTTACACCAGTTTGGTTCCAGCATTACTTTGCCAAACTGATCCAAAGATCTGGGATGCTTCCATCCATATCGGGGGTCGACATGGAACGCAGCACTACACCCAAAGGAAGCTCACTTTGAGGCGAGCATGGGCCGACACCTGCTAATTATATCTAAAGAGTCTACCCAAAACCAAAGCCATGCAGTCTTCCCTTGGTAACGCTAGTCTTAAAAGGACAACTTTGATGACCAATGATGTTTCAACTAAACTTGGGACCAGCCTTGGCCCCTCACGCTGCCATTTCCACCATTTGACTGGGTTCGCAAAAGGTCATCTAGTCTGGTGGTTGAAAAGGACGCCTTCGGGTCCAGAAACCCCTACTGCCATGCCAAGTTGGCTTGACCCAACCCCAGGGCGCATCCAAATCATAACTAGACGTGTTCCGTTTCACATTGGGTCAAACTTGAAATATCGATCACATCTGGATGGACGAGATCCATTTCGCACCACAAAGTAAAGCCATGGAGTCGAAGCCGTAACGTTTGTTTGCATTTGCGGGTTGTAATACATCACATTCCGTGACGGTCCGTGCGGTTTCCGCGTGGTGCGCGCGGATTTCGCCCGTCCCCAGGAAAAGACACCAAGGGATCCCTCCCGGTTTGGACGACATCCCCCCCCCCAGGCCTGCGAAGAAGGTCAGCAATAGCAGCCCCACAGACCGCTGGGCACCTCTGGGCCCGGAACCCTCGGGACCCCAAATGGAAAGGGCTTGCTGTTGGCGTCCCCTTTTAAACAAGCAAACAGGGCCTCTTGGCTTGGTCAACGTTCAATCCAAGATGTGAAGATTGCCTTGGTTCATTTTAGCATTTTAGTCAAGGGCAGTGTAGAATGGTCCAAAAAACATCCCAGTTGGCAGCCTAAGGGGAAGCGCTCACCCGACGCTTTCTTCGGAAGAGACGCGTCCTGACTCTGTTGCCATGGCTGGCCTTGGTGGCGCCGTTGGGTGTTTTTCCGGAAACGAAGCCACGGCGATGAAGACTCTTGGGCTCGAAGTGACCAAGTGGCTTTTCTGGGGGATATCTTTTCTCGGTTGCTTTCTGCTCACCTGCTAAAAGTGAATCACTTTTGGTGCTTTAATGGAAAACCCACTAGTTTGCAAAAAGTGAAAGTCCTAACATCCCTTGGCAAAATGCACCAAAGTTTTGAGTAAAGCCGAGGTGTCTCTCTCCGAGCAGCCGAAGATCCAGGCGGTGGCGCGGAAGCCGCCCAAGGCCAAGCCCAGACTCGCGCCTAGTCCGAGGCTGGCGAAAAAAGGAGCCGAGCGAGCCGGGCAGTGGCGGAAGCAAGGGGGGGCTCCTTGGTTTAAATAAACACCTTTTAGGGGGTTGGGGAAAATCACAGTACAAGTAAAGTATATCTATATACATGAATATTTAGATGTATACCAACATGTCTGTGTGACAAGTTGTAGGCCGAGCCCCTTGTTCAAACATTTGTTTCAACCGCTGCCTGAAGGCTGCCTCCTTTTGGTTTCCCTCGAAAGGTAGCACTGTTGGCCAGGTGCCAAAGAGGGTACCATCAGGTTTGAGAAAAAAACACATTCCTCCTGTCCATGATTTACAACAAGAGGAGAAAGAGCACAAGAAAAGCAATGCAAGCTGAATGCAAGCTCAATATGGCGTGTTATGGCGTGTCTACAATAGACAACACCAAAGCAGCAGCCAACCAGTCATTTTTTCCCTTTTTGCCTGAGGAGCCAGGGATGGATCCCAGATGAGCACAAAGCATGTCTAACATGTGTGAATTGTGATAATTATCTCACAACCAAACATGAGGGCCCCAATTACCTTCATAAGGACCCCATTTAGACGCACATCTGCGGTGTGCGCCGGTAGGTGAGGCCGCGCGTTTTCAGAAGCAACACGCGCTTCTTAGCAGTGCCCCTAAACTGTTTGGATGCAACACGTGCGCGAAACAAAAAATGGAACACACAAAAACAATGAGGTCTTCTTTCTGGTTTCCAGGGTTTCTCGTTTCAAGCGGGAAAGGAGTCAAGAAATGAATGGTCCGCGAGAGCTGCCATGGGTTGCTGCTTCCCGCCTTCGCGTCGGCAACGCAACCGGAATGCAACGAAATAAACCGAAAGAGCCGGAGAAAAAATAAAACACACGTTTTTCCGGGTCCCCAATTTTTTTGGGCACCTGTTTGCACCGCGGGCTTTCCCCCCGGCGCCCCTCTTGGGCCGTCCCCTCGGCTCTCGGCTCTCGGCTCTCGGCTCCGCCTGTGGCGGTGAGCAGCAGCGCAGCGCTGGGAACCGCGAAGGACACAAACTTCGCCAGCAGCGGGCGCCTCAGACTCCGGGTCGAGTTGGCCCAAACAAAACGCCGATGGGCTTCACGGGTAAAACAGGGCTTACCAACCCACCAAAACCCACAAAACCACATGCCAACAAAAAAGCGAAAACCGCCGACCCCAGCAGACCAGGCACCAAAAAAACAAGCAGCCTCCTCCATTTGCGTTTTTGCCGCCTGGGAAATTTGAGGAATAACGCCCATCTAAACCAGCGGAACCCATCTATTGCCAAGGCAAAAACAAGACACCTATGGTCCTAATATGCCATCTCCAGATGAATCCGGATCTTTCTAGTCAGAGAACCCCTAAAATAGACAGCTTCCTTACAGAGTGAACATGATTCAAGACGTTTTGTAGGTTTGGTGAAAGCCATTTACCAAAAGGATCGTGCATAGGAACCTCTTCTTAGGTTTGCCGTGTGCGATGCCTGTTGGCGGTGCAATTGGCGGTGCCTAGTCCTTTGCGATCCGTCCCCCAAAGCCCCCCCATGTCCTCCCCAAATGAACAGACGACCGCCGGGGGGAAAAAAGCGCCTGGATTTCACCCGACAAGCTGATCAATTTGCTTCAGCAAGCCGTGGCTTGCAAAGGAACAAGTCAAAAAGATCTGTCTTCCAAAACAGGGGCGCCTCTGTAAAACATATTTGGCTGTGGGTCAAAAATAGGGTAACCCCAAAATGGAACCTTAGTAAATGGAAACATGGACTAAAACCTGCGGTCCATATCCTAGCGGATTAATTTTAACCCACACCCATTTCTTCTCCGGTAGCGTCCAAACCATTCCCCGCAATTGGAACCCATTGATCAACCCCTTCATTCGAATGGGTGCCCCCCCGCCTGCCATGCAGCCCCACAAAGCGGGGCCACAGAATGCAGCGCCAAACGGCAGAGGGGTACCCACCGAACGAACCCATGTCTAGGTCCTCCAGTAGAGAGGTTAGAATAAGGGTACCAACTTTCTTCTGATTTTAGTAGGTGAAGCCTCCCCCAAAAAGGATAACAGGGCACTACTGGGGGACCTAGATGTGCTTCCGACGTCCAAAGAGTACCAAGCGAGACCTCCAAGCGCGAAGCTCATGAGCCATGGCGCTTGATGGCCCCCCAATAGCCCGACAGTGAGGCTGCAATGGCTCCTGGCATGTTTCCTTGCAGGTTCCCATGTATATCCAAGGGAACCAGGATTTGTATACTTTTCTAGTATGGGTTCCACTAGCCCCAAACCACTACTCCCAGAGTGAAATTGGATATCTACGGCTCTACAGTGGCTGTATATCCCATTAACAAACCCCTGGGGGTATCTTCGGGTTGGCGGTAGTGGAAACCATCTTGGAACTTTGGACGCCAACCGAAAACCTTCCCTTCGTAACACCTGGGCTTAGGGTTTAGGGCGAAGGGTTTAGGATTTAGGGTTCCGCTTGCCAAATTTTGCTCGGACCCCCGGCAGAAACAGCAGCACCGCCAAGTTGGCCACTTGCAGAGCCACCGCGATCCTGGAGAGGTGAGCGAAGCCAAGCGACGTCTACGTCTATATGTCTTATTCGTAGACATGTACAAATACACGCAATCAGATCTGCTATAAAGATAGATATATTATATAGGTACGAAGCACGTAAATACACGGATCATGATAGAGATCAACTATCTCTATATAAATATATATATGATATATGTGTAGGCACACCCAAATACCTACATTCAATCCCAAATGAAGCAAACTCAAACTTGGCCTTTCTGCAAGGTGATGGTGACACCGAAGGGTGAGACATCCCATCCCATCACTCAACCTTCCCCACCCCACCACCCCCCCCCCCCCCGCCCATCCGCCAAACTCCGCAAGACACACACAAACAACCGCCCCCATCAAATCAGGCACAAAAACCACCAAGCAAACCCCTCCATTTGAGAAAGTCCCCAGGAAAAAATGAGAATACTTCAGCAATGATAAATTCCCTAAAAAAACCAACAAGGGGAAGAACCCAAAACCCAACACCCCAAATCCACCCGGTCCAGGTACTCAGCGCCCATTTCTCCGGCAGCTCCGCCACCAGGAAGGAGCTCTGTACAAAGATCTCGGCAGGAAACGTCGCGAGCGGAGTCGTTACCTTTACTTCCATTTGGTTAAGGCTCCACGAAAAAAATAAGAGATATTTCCAGTAGTGAAATGAATTCCTTTTAAAACCAACAAGGGAAAATACCAAAAATATTCGTTTCAGCAAATGGAGGTTTACTGGCTTTGAAGCCCTGGTTCTTGTAGAGGTTACCACCCCTTTTGCCCACTGTCCGTTTTCAGATCCCCTGCCGAAAGTTTAGCTTGTGGGTGAAACTCGGAAATCCAACCACAGGGATGCTTAAATTATACACCTGAACATTGCAACTTGTCAATGGTGGTGTCCAACTTTATTTTGGTGGAAGAAGCCACATGTTTCAACTGGGCAAAATGTATCTTTTAAGGAGCCCTGCTTATTTTGGTGGAAGAAGCCATAGTTCAAATGGTTGCAAAATGTATTTAAGGCGGCCTGAACCACTAAAGCCACTAAAAGCATTGGAAACCTAAGGAATCTGGATGGTTGGGAACCACCAAGTTTAGCCAGTATCAGTGACGGTAGAAAACAATTTGGCTTCCCTGGAAAGGATTGGTTCGAGGAAAAGGGTGCCAAAAAGAAATGGGATTTTGAGGGTGTCATTGACCTGGTTTAGTTGGACATTTTGGGTGGAATCCTTAGGGGTGCAAGTAGCAGAGTCCTAGGGGCCTAGGGTTCATCCGCTAGTCCGTTCCCGTTCCGCTTCATCCTCTTCAGGCTCAAGGCTTCAGAAAACCGAAAAGCCTCGGCGGATTCCATAACTTTGCCCGGTTGTAAGCATGACTTGCGGGTTGTTGATATTGTTTGAGCATCCCTGGCCCCCATTTCGGCTTTGGGCCGGGTCGCTGCGAGCCCTTTATACCCATACCTTGGCCCACATCCGTACCCCGGAAATCTTAAAACCTTGGGGTTCTGCGAGGCTCTGCTTCGTATTTGCCCTGTAGAAAGCAGCTTTGGAACAGACCCCAAAGCCAAAGGTTCAATGCGTGACGTGTCAAATGGTTTGCCCCCGATGGCGGCTCCACATTCAATCAACCCTTTCACCCAACCCGAACGCGGCGTCAGATCTCCGAGGCCGGCTCGGCATTGATGGAGGACCAGCTGCCCAGGCCGAAGATGATGAAGGCGCCCTTAGCCATCCGAGAAGCCGACAGCCGATCCATCAGATCAGAAACTTGGGTGTTAGAGGACACCCGAAATGTGTTTTGTGTTTTTCTTGGGGATTTCTTCAAACTAACCCAAAAAAAAGGTGCCCTCAAGAATGACAGACCCATTTGGCCACTGTTGATGGACACACTTTGGGAAAGAACAACTTTACTTGACTACTAAAGGAAGCTGGGACGCCACATCCTAGATTGAAGCTGTGAAAAAAATACCACGTGTCGGAAAAAAAGAAGAAAAAACAAGCAAATATCAGACCTTGGGCTCACTTTTAACTAAACTCCCGAAACGGATTGAAACTTTGCCTAAACAAAAAGCTATGTACGTCCCACCTACGCTCACCCCCCCACATGCTCGACTGGCTGGATGACTGGAAGCACCCTAACTTCCACGTCGACAGACCTTGACTTCCTCTTCCAAGCGCTGGGGCTGCTCCCCGCCAGCCCGGGGCCCGCCCTTAGGATTGGCCAAGGGCCAAACTTCACTTCCATTTGCGGTTTTCCCCTGGGGAAAAAAATGTTTCCAGTAGTGAAATCGATTCCTTTTAAAACCAAGAAGGGGAAGAACAAAATATTTTCTTTAAAAAAAAAAAAGATCAGCAAACGGACACTTCACAACCCTGCATCTGGGAAGCCCACAGCAAACCCTCTGGAACTGATCCCAGTTTGAAGGAAGCCAAGGCGGGAAGATTCCAATCAACTTGCCCCAAGCCACTGTTCAGGCCTCAGTGCTCCAACTGAGTCTATATGGAAACAAACCGCCCCAACCTGCAACGAGACATGGGCCCAAACCTCAAAAACGCCAAAAGGGCAGATTGGGCAATGGCGCATGGCCCGATCTGCCACTGCATGCATTCTCTGTCCCTCACAAACATATTTAGCACAAACTAATATGAATACGCGCATTCTTCTCAACACATCAGTAGAAACAAACAGCTAACAACACCACGGCTCTGTCCTTTTTGAGGGTACCCTTCTTTGTCTAGGTCCTCCAGTAGAGAGGTTAGAATAAGGTACCAACTTTTTTCTGTAGTCTATTTTAGTAGGGGAACCTAGTTGTGGCTCAGGGGGAAAAGGAGAAAAAAAGAAAAACAACGAGAGGCAAACCACCCCGAGCAACTCCACCGCCTGAGCCCGGCGCATACACCGCCGCCGCCTCCCTCGAGGTCGTGGCTTCAGCTTCCACGGAGAGCGCCGCCCGAGCCATGGCATCGCGAGAGATGCCTTAAAGAGGCACAGCGCCACGGTGATTCTTGGAGTTGGAGGTTGTTTTTGCTTAGGGAAAAGGACAACCACCAAGCTTTCTGTGGAGCGTACCCCAGCTTTTGAGGTGTTGTTACTTTTTTCTAGGGAAAAGGACAACCACCAAGTGTTGTGTTGAGGGTATATACCATGTTTGAGTTTGTTTTGAGGAACACCACGATTTGGTTTGGGGGGATCCTGCATTTGGACACACACACACACACACGTGTGTGGGAAAGCGAGTGACTTGATATGTGAGCCTAGGTTGGCTAGGGCAATTCCAATACTGCAAAGGCGGGGTTTTCGCGGATAGACACAGAACAAACAGGTGCGAGTGTCCTTGGTCAATGTGACCACCGCGCTTTTGCTCTTGCCAGCGGGAGTTGTTGCTGCACGGGATGATGGCTGACCTTGGCTTTTTGGATCGGGGAACCGCAAATCTGTAGTGACTCCTTTTCTTGTTTCTCCAACCGGAAAAACCAAGGGACACCAACCCATCTCCATGCTTTCGAGGCTCAA